AGAGGTGATGTTACTTGTTTAGAAATTGATGCTGTTGTTAATGCTGCTAATGAATCACTTTTAGGAGGTGGTGGTATTGATGGTGCTATTCATAGAGCTGCTGGTGGAAAATTAAGAAAATACAATGCACATTTGCATGGTTGTGATACTGGTTGTACTAAAATTTCACCAGGTTTTTGTTTACCTGCTAAATTTATTTTAAATACTGGTATGTTTTTTTTTAATATTTAATTTATTTATTAATATTTATTTAATATTTAATTATTATAATATAATAATATTTAAATAGTTGGACCTGTTGGTGAAAATCCACAAAAATTAACAAGTGCCTATACAACATGTCTTGAATTAGTAGAAGAATATCAATTAAGAACAATTGCTTTTTGTGGTATTAGTACAGGTATTTTTGGATATCCATTAGATAAAGCAACTATTATTGCAATGCATACTATTAGACAATGGTTAGAAATTAATCATGATAAAGTTGATAGAATCATTTTTATTACTTTCCTTAAAAAGGAAGTTGATATGTATAATACTGTTGCTCCTTACTTTTTCCCTCTTAAACCTTTACAATAAAATTATTAACTTTTAATTTACTTTATTATCAATATTTTGTAAAAACAAGTAATAAAATGACAAGTCTTTCTAAGCAATTTTCATTCACTTGTCAAAATATGAAAACTAATCATTTTAAAAAAAAAATGTCAAATCAAAAAGAAGAATTGATGAATGATATTAAAACAATATTAGAATTATTATTTATTGTTTTAATTAAACCTATTATTGAATTTATTAAAAACTATCAATATTATTCATTAAATTTTGATAATTATTATCAATACTTTAATCAATCATCATCATTAGATATTACCATTTCATCATCTTATATTCCTAGTAGTAGTAGTAGTAGTACTGATAATAAATTGAAACATCACCATAATAGAAGTGGTAGTGATTTATCAGTTCATACACCACGTGGATCTAAACGTATTCTAGTAGGTGAAGAAAATGAAGAAAACATTG